ACAATACTATCTACACGAGCGTCGGCAGACGTGACAGCGCCCTTTCGTCAACGTCAGCCTAACAGCGGAGACAAGACCAAACATCCAAATGCACCTCATCAACTGCACAACACTAGAGCTGGAAGAGTTCTTCGGCAATAGTATCCCGCGCTACGCCATTCTCTCGCATACCTGGGGCGATGAAGAGGTGTCATTCGCCGACTTCACCTCGGGTCAGCCTATGATCCGATCTGGCTACCAAAAGATTATTTTCACTTGCAAGCAGGCCATGATAGATGGAATCGACTACGCGTGGATAGACACCTGTTGTATTGACAAAAGTTCTAGCGCGGAGCTCTCCGAGGCAATTAACTCTATGTTCGCCTGGTATCAGATGTCAGTTCGCTGTTATGCGTATCTTTCTGATGTCTTGGCAGCCAACATGGACCAGGATTTCCCTAAGAGTAGATGGTTCACACGGGGTTGGACCCTCCAGGAATTGTTGGCGCCAAAAACGGTTATCTTCTACGATCAACTATGGGTTGACTTGGGCGATCGGGAAGAGCACGCCGAGCAGATATCGAAAGTCACAGGTATAGACGGGGCCGCTTTGATTGAAGGCTGGTGGAGGGCCTCGGGCCGGAAAAAGGAGGACAAATTCGGTTGCTATTGCGTCGCGACGAGGATGTCATGGGCCTCCACGAGGCAGACGACACGTGCGGAGGACATGGCCTACTGTCTCCTCGGGATCTTCAACATCAATATGCCGCTTTTGTATGGAGAAGGTGACCGGGCGTTTCGTCGTCTTCAAGAGGAAATTATCCGGAATATCGACGATGATTCCATCCTCGCCTGGGCTCTATCGCCAGAGGACGACGATCCCAGTGCCCTAGGACTTCTATCAGATGGCGCCAGGGAACATCTTTGCCATACAAAAAGCGTCGACTTTTTGGCTCACTCACCAAAAGACTTCAAAGACTGTGCCGGCTTGTCTTGCGCTACGGAATCATTGACTCTTTTCACATTGACCAATACGGGCCTACAGATCCAATTACCTATTGTGCGGGTCTTTGAATGCAGCGAGTATTACTGTCGCAGGGTTGGAGCTTCAGCCCATGTATGGATTGGGCTACTTGGTTGCTCGAGAGCGTCAAACGGGAACTTTTTAGGTATTCTGCTCTGGCCGTACGGAGACCCGGTCGATTCCAGCGTGAAGGTGGTTCGTCAAAGGGAATGTTACAGTACTGTCATTGTTGGTCCAAGGGTCGCTTTCGGCTCAGTCAGTGAAACATTGACAATTGCTGGAGTGAACGGGTTCAAAGAATCACTACACTACTGGCGCGGGCGAGATAGGCGAATTATCGTCAACGAATGCGAGGCCATCCGGAGTCTTGGTTATCAACTCCAGGCTTTTAGTGCATGGACGTTTGTTCAAGGAGAACCACCACTGGCTTACCATCCGCTTTGGGACCCAGAAGCCAAGGTTCTTACCATAAGACGAGATGATCCGTTTCACAGGATGTTCGAATTCAACTTCGAAACATCGTCGAGTGGTCCAAATCCCAAGTTCACTGTCTTCATAAAACAGGAAAACAGGGGTACAGTAAGACAAGGAGACGTCTTTTCAGAAGATGAAAGGCTCGCTGTATACTACGATATTCTCAAGGATAACGACGATCAGCCTCATGGCAAGGATCGGGCTTATGACAAGGGTGATGTTTTGGTCCATGACGACAAACAACGCCGGTTCCACATTAGATTTGAGGCTCACACCCAGGTTATTGGCCATCACGAGCTGATCCGGATTAATGTTGATGCTTTAGAAGATGGCTTTTCTGGTGAGGAATATTATTGGACTTGTAGCTGCGAGGAGCGTGAACATGCGCATTGATCTATACACATTGATCTATACTCGGTTTTCATTCTCGTTGGCTGTACGTCGTGTTGTACAAAGGCTATACATGCATGTATGTCTTCACCTTGTCCTGTGGATAAGTCACCTTCGCATGAGTCAAACATAAAAACTAAGACAGCCCACAACCCCGACCGTACGTGGCTGTGGGTGGATACGAAGCCTGGCACCGGGCACCGACATGTCATGACCATCCTTTGAGACAGTCGAGCAGTATGAAATATTCGCATCACTGTGAATTTTACCAATCTTCGGCCATGGGCTGAAGTCGCCAAGCAGCCGGGAATCTACATCCGCGATGGCGCGCCAGCGAATACACATCACGTGCGCGCGGGTTTGATGCGCGACCTCGGGAGTCTAAGGCACGCGCGGGATGGGACCTCGATTGCCTACGAACACAAAAAGCGAGATACTGGATTGCATTGCATTCTCGTGAGTGTACCTCCAGACAAATCCGCGCAACCGCCTATCCTCCCAAGTGGGCCCACGTCATCGGCGCATTCCTCGGCGCGTTCGCTAACCACGTTTGCCCCGCCCGGAAAGCCGCATCTCCACTCTTCACCTCCAAACCACGCGATAAGAGCCGTTGGCACTGCCAGCGCGCGGTAGCTTCGGAAAGCTATCAGCGCGCCGCCCGCCTTCCTGTTTACGATGCTCAAGACGCCCTTTACGTATTTGTGTAGTGTGCATAAGGCGTAGCGGGTGATGCTGGCCAGTCAGGTTGAAGGGCCGAGTGCTTATCAGGAAGATGGCGGGTTTGATCCTGGTAGCATCGCAGACACGGACTTGTCTTGTCGTTGGATTGAAGATGGGTTAGGGAATGGATCGGAATCATGACTCTTTGCCAATGGGAATGGTGTCTTGGAGATCAATCGTTTCGGTAAAGGGAGAAGTGCCGCCGACGTATAAAGCTCGCTGGCCTGCAGCTGTATGGAGCTTCATCACGGACTTTCGCCAGACCCCCGGTTTGGACTTTTCGTGGACAAGATGCGCTTCTCTCGGTCTCTCGGCGTCGCGTCTTTCGTTGTTGGCGGTGTGCAAGCTGCTGTTTCTTCAACTGGATTCACGGTATCCTTGACAGACATCGACTACTTCCTGCCGCCAAAACCAGTCGCGAAGATCTCGAGTTGCGAAGAGATCCAGGCCTCCTTCGAAGATGCTGCGTTTGTGCCGTTCACAGTGGTGAAGGCTAAGGATGGTGGTTCGGATGTCGCGTCGCTCACAGCAAGTTACGCGCATGATGATGTATGGCAAGAAGGTTTCATGGACGGTATGCACCCAAGTTCACGCTCTTGAGACCCTCGCTGATCATACCTTCCAGCCATTTACGTCCAGGGTAGCGATTCCAAACCAACAAACTCTTCGTTGACCATATTATCCGGCACCGCATCTAAGGAATTAGCTCCAGGACCCTACTTCATCAACGCAGCTAGTCATGTCTACGAGGCGTGGAGACTATTCTCTGACATGCAAGGCGCTTTCACCGAGTCTGCAATCGCGAACGGCGACGGTTCTTACTCGGTCTTGCCTGCGGGTACCATGGGCCAGAAGCATGCCATCGCCGTGCCTTCGCGGTTGTACTTCACCAAGACGGCCGAGAAGCCATTGGCTGGTGTAAGAATTGGTATCAAAGACATCTACGGTAAGGTCTCCCGACATCGCGGAGACTATAGTCTTTGAGCATCGACTAACATCATCTCCAGATATCAAAGGCCTGCGAACATCCAATGGAAACCGAGCTTGGTACTGGCTCTACCCTCCTGCCAACGCAACTGCGCCGCCCGTCCAGAACCTGATCGACGCGGGAGCGATCATCGTCGGCAAGATGATCACCTCTCAATTCGCCAATGGCGAAACCGCAACGGCCGACTGGGTTGACTACCACGAGGCTTTCAATCCCCGTGGAGACGGCTACCAAGACACCTCCTCCAGCTCTTCCGGTGGTGGTGCGGGTACCGCATCCTACTCCTGGCTCGACATCAGTCTCGGATCCGACACCGGCGGCAGCGTACGCGGCCCATCGCAAGTCCAAGGTCTCTACGGTAATCGTCCATCTCATGGATTGGTCTCTCTAGACCACACCATGCCACTGAGTCCCGTTCTCGACACCCCCGGTCTTCTGGCGCGCAACCCTCAAATCTGGATGGAAGCAGCCCAAGCCATGTACGGCCCCAACATCACCATCACAAGCAGCTACCCAAGCAGCATCCAAACCCTCGGCTGGCCCACCGAAGTCGAAGACGTCGCCGACCAACTCCTTATCGACTTCCTCGGAAACGTAACCGATTTCCTCAGCGCCAATGCCACCGCTTTCAACGTCACAGCCTCTTTTGACGCCGCGAACCCAGATGTCGCACCTCTTACAGTCTTACAGAACCTCACCTACGCTATTCTAATCACGAAGCAGCAGATCGAGCTCGTCCGCGAACCCTTCTACGCAGACTACGCCGAAGTCCACGATGGCCGTCTTCCATTCGTTAATCCCGTCCCGCTGGCTCGCTGGGGCTGGGGCGACAACCAGACCATCACTGTCGACGAGGCTGTTAACAACAAGACCATCTTCCAAACCTGGGCCAACGAGACCTTCCTCGCTCCCTCTCCCGAAACATGCTCTGAGTCCCTAGTCATGTACGTCGGTTCCACCGGTGGTACCACGTACCGCAACACGTACTGGGACGAGCCCGGTGTGCCTTTTGGCTTTGGCAACAGCCGCATCTCGGTTATGGCGGAGGTGCCGGATTATGTTGTGCCGCTGGGTGAGGCGCCGTATAACTCGACGATTACGGGGCATGTGGAGTATTTGCCTGTTACGGCGAATTTGATGGCGGCCAAAGGGTGTGATGGCATGTTGTTCTCGCTTATTAACGAGCTGTATGAGGCGGGTATCTTGAAGGAGAGTATGGTTGGGCAGAGTGGGGTTACCGGTGGGGAAATCCTACTGAGGCGGGATGGACTGCGGTGAAAAGCTTATATACATTAATGGAAGCTCAAGTGCGTGATAACATCAACCTTCCGTCCAATATATGCGTAAAGTCAATCCATATCATTGCACGATTCACAAGGCTGTAATCCAGTCAGACTTCCAATATCCTCTTCCGCCCCCTCTCCATCAAACCTGAAACCTCCACCTCGGATGCCGATCCCCCATCTTAACATCCTCAACACTATCATGAAACCCGCCCGTCTGCGGCCTCTCTACCAACACCCTCTCTTTCTCCGCATTTTCCCTCTTCAACAATACCCACAACACCCCCACAACCACTAGATTCAAACACAAATACCCCAGCGCAAAACTATGCCCAAGCACATATCTCGGCCCCGAATTCGCGCGATACAACTGCGTCCCCAGCACCGCCCCCAAATTCCCAATGCTAATCTGCATGGCATTCGCCGTTGCGCGCTTCGTCTGCCCACTAACGTTGATAGCGGGCCAGCAGAGGACCAAGGCGACGGAAGGGTAGATGCCGATAGCCGCAAAGAAGGTTCCTACGTAAGACACGCCTGGGCGTGCTTTGGGATCTGTGTTGGCGAGGAGGATGATGTAGCCGATGATTGCGACGGTGGAGGTGGTCAGGATGAAGAGGGCGCGGCGGGCGTAGCGTTCGGAGAGGATGGCCCAGAAGATTGTGAAGAGGGTTGCGACGGCGTAGGGGGGGATGGTGAGGAGTTGGGATTGGGCGGATGTGTAGCCCATGTCGCGGATGATTGTTGGCTTGGGGGGTGTTAGAGTGGTTTGTGCGATTTGTGGGTTGGGGGGCTTACTAGGAAGAGGGATAGAGTGTATAGTGGGAGACTCATGGTGTGGAAGGCAAAAGCGTAGAGCCAGATTTTGATGTCTTTTGCCGCGAGCAACACCTCAGCCCAAGAAAATGCTTCGTCGTTCGTCGCGTCGCTGTCGGCTTTGAGACGCGCTTGCACGAACGCTCTTTCTTCTTTGCTGAGCCAGCTGACGGTGGCAGGGTAGTTTGAAATGAACCAGTACGCGATGATTCCGATGATGATTGTGAGCAGACCTTCCTATGTTGTTGTTAGTGACGAACTCATGAGCAGGTTGGGGGCGTACCAAGATGAATATCCATCGCCATCCAGCGTAGCCCCCTACGTTACGCATATGCGCGATTCCGTATGCTAGGATCTGGAAACGTCAGCACAGAAGATCGGAATAGGACGGGAGATAGCATACACCACCAAAAGCCCCCGCAAGACTCGCGCAGCTAAAAAACAGCGAAATGCGATACTGGCGCTCATTGCGCTTATACCACATACTCAAATAATACACCACACCAGGAAACAGCCCAGACTCAGCCATCCCCAAGCTGCAAATCATTAGCCGATGTCACACTATCGTCCTCTCCATGTTGACGATACTCACAAGAAGCGCACCGCAAAAAAGCCAGACAGGTTCTGCGTAACCCCCATCAGCGTAGCCACAACACCCCACACCACCGTAAGCGTAGGCAACCAGAACTTCGGCGTTGTACGTTTGAGAACGATGTTGCACGGTATTTCGAAGAGGACGTAGCCGATGAAGTAGAGGGTTAGGCCGGTGAGGTATTGGTTGCCTGTCATGCCTAGGTCGGTTGTCAGGCCTTCGATACGTGCGTTGGCGACTGAATTGTCCGTCAGCAAAACATTATCAGCGGTGGGTATGAAGGAGTCTGTACCATTGCTGCGATCAAGAAAGCTGAGCAGATACAAGATTGACACCGCGGGTAGGAGTCTTAGATCCAATGTCCTGAGTAACTTCTTTTCGTTGATGGTGCCTGGGACGATTTCCACATCGCTCGCGGAAGAGGTCGATGCGGCGGGTGCATCATTCTTCTCCGATGCCATCGTTACGTTCGCCCAGACTTTGAGACGGAAGTATTGAAATGTGAAATATCCCTCCAACGACGACGCGGCACCAAGCTCTTCTTATCAACCACACCACCCTCGCATCCCTCGTAGCTCGCAATGATGCAAGAACGTGGGTCAATCAGCTCAAGCCGCGGCAGCGTCATGACCCAGACCGGACGGGCAAACCTCAGGCATGACCGCAAACGCTCATTGGAGCGCATCGCCAACCGCGTCGAATGCGAGATGCGCACAACTCTGACAGGACAAGCGTTATCGGCTTTACCGCACGGCATGGCGGGCGTGTTGCAAGGGCTTATGAGTTGGGGTTGTACACGAAATCGAGAGGTGGTATGTCGTGATTGCACTAGCCGCTTGGGGTATAGACCCGAATGGACCACGTTGTTATTTGCTAGAGGCGATACGCGACGATAGGGCATGTAGATGGCTGATGTTTTACTTGCTGGGTTTGAGGTGGAGGACTTTGCTTTCACCGTTTTGAGGGTCAGCGCTATCATTCTAAGGCTCTGTGGCATTCCGAGGTTTGGACCGATGTTCGCAGGAGAGCGGGGGAACATTTGGTACCACCTGGGCAGGTGGTTTGCTCGATAAGTCCACTAATGCGCTACCGTTTCCCTTTCCCCCCAATAATCCCAATACCTCTAATAAAAAAGATGACAACAGCCGTAGACGCAACACTCATACCAAAGTTAAACCAAGCCGTCGTCCTAATACCCACCTTGAGCGCATCATCCCAAGGCACCGTCTTATGACCTTCACCACCAATCTGATCCACACTTAACCCCTTCTCCCTAGCCACAACAGCCGTCTGAACCGCCGTCGCAATCGCCAGCCCAACCGCCCTCCCAATCTGACCCACAGCCGTAATAAGCGCCCCTCCCAGCGAAGCATCCTCCGCCGGCAGCGTCTTAGCGACAAACAACGTGAGAACAGGGAAGATGGTATCCGCACCCGAGACACAGAGTACCATAGCCGGGAAGCCGTATGCCCAATACGTCGTATGCACCGGAATGGGAATTGCGAAAAGTAAGGAGGATATACTCACACAGATAGTACTAAACGTGAGTATATAATCGCCCGGCACACGCGACAGAATCTGCCCCGTAATCGTAGCCACCAGAATCCCCGTGATGCCATTCGGTAGAAAACGCAGCGTGGTTTGGATAACGGAAAGGCCTTGGTAGTCCTGAAACCAGTAGGTTGCGAAGATGAGGTAGTTGTTGAAGGACGAGAAGAACAGCGCCATGAGCACATTGGCAGCAGTGAACTTGCCGTTTTTGAAGATACTCATCTTCATCAACGGCCGTCTTTCTGTCTTGTGCTCGAGGTAGTGCTGCCAGAAGCCGAATGCGGCGATGATGATTAGTGAGAGCACGATGAGAACGGGCACCCATGGCGTACTCCAGCCCACGACGTTGCCCTCGGAGAGTGCGAATACGAGGATGACGAGACCGATGGTGATGAGCGATCCGCCGATCCAATCCACCGTGTTGCGCAACACGGGTTCAGGCCCCAACGGCGGAATCGGGATAACGAAGTAGCTCGCAACCGTAGAAATCCCCGCAATAATCCCAAACAGCCAGAACACCCACTGCCAATCCAGAAACTCGCCCACGACACCACCGAAGATGTTGCCCAACACGCCGCCAAGTGGCGCTCCGGCGCCAAAACATCCAAAAGCAATATCTTTGGTCTTTCCGGGTGGGAAGGTAGATGCGAGGATGCCGAGAGCAGTTGGTGCCATGGCGGCGGCGGCGAGACCCTGAAGACCGCGGAAGATGTCGAAGCCGATTTCATTGGGGATGAAGGGCGTTACTATTGATGTGAGGGTGAAGGCTGCGGAGCCCCAGAGGAAGATCATTCGTCGGCCGTAGACGTCTGCTAGACGGCCCCATAGTAGCTGAACGGTCGTGTTAGGGAATCATGAACTAAAGAGGGTGGTTTAACGACGTACCAGGAAGCAGCCAAATGTAAGGTTGTACGCGGAGATAATCCACTGCTGACGACTAACTGGGATATCCAATTCCTCCCCGATAGTAGGTAAAATGATAACCGATGCTTGAACCGCCATGGTCTATCACAAATCAGTCAGTGCTCTTCCTCTCTTCTCCAACGACATCTATCGGTATCACTCACGCTCAAAAACGGCGCCGCAGCAATCGTCGTAACAAGCGCCACACACCGTGCTTTCGAAAACGGCAAGCGCTCAGAAGCCGATGTATCCACAGCCACAAGCCCATTCTCTTTCTCTGCATCATCCGCCGCTTGGTGTGTGGCAGTGACCACGCGTTCCAAATCCGTGACGCCCTCCACAGGTTCGGGGGTCTTCTCTTCGCGTTTCGACATCTTCAGAACACACTACAAAAGATTCCTTAGAACAGTCGGCAGCCTCCACCATGCTTCCAGTGGGGTACCCCATCTTTATAAACGATTGAAGTCTGGGGGAAAGAATATGCCGAGTTGCTCGCTTGCCGACCGCCACAAACGCGCCTTTGCTAGTTCGGTTAAGGGTTTATCCGGGGGTGTGCAGGTGGAAAAGGTAGGCAAAAGTATGACAACGAGCTCTTGGTGTATGACGAATGGCAGTATGATGCGGAAAAGGAATCCTGATCTGCGAAAGCACTCGTATAAAGATGTTCTCTGTGGTGGTGATGCAGCGGGAGGAATAATCTAACATTCCACCAATCGCAGTACGGCTTATATCAGCAGGGACTAGTCGTTGATGTTCGCTGTCGGTGTATAGCAGCTGCATGTCAACGAGCGCAAGAGAGAACGGCGATATGCGACACTAGATCATCAATCAAGATGCGAAGTCAAGACAGTGGACATAAATTCATTGCTCGTGCTATTACGTTCCAGTTCCATTCCAAGTCGTCAAGCAACCTCAATCGATGTATGCAAGAGTGAGAAACGCGACCGAACCACTGTTGCCCAAGAGCCAGCCATCAAAAGAAGGTGGCGGCAACATCATCAAACAAATAGTCTAAGCGCGAAAGGGGGTATGAAGAAGAGGGAGCAAAGGAAGACTTGTTTATGGCTTGTGGATGTCAATGACCATCTCGGTCTCGACAGTTTCCGCCTTCTTGGCGAACCTGGCGACATCGGCGCCCTCGACCTTGCCGTACATGGTCTCGGCGATTATGCCGGTGATCTGGTATGGGTCACCGTTGGAGGCCGGGCGGCGGTCCTCGAAGTAGCCCTTGCCCTCGGCTGCGACGGCGCGGGGGATACGGACGGAGGAACCGCGGTTGGCGACGCCCCACGTGAACTTGTCGTAGGAGGCAGTCTCGTGCTTGCCGGTCATGCGGAGCTGGTTGTCTGAGCCGTAGACGGCCATGTGCTCGGCTTGGCGGGTGGACAGCTTCTCCATGGCGGCCTCGATGGCCTTCATGCCGTTGTCGCCACGAGTCTCGTTGGTGGAGACGTTGGTGTGCAGGCCGGCACCGTTCCAGTCGCCGGGGATGGGCTTGGGCGCAAAGGTAACCTTGGCACCGAACTCCTCAGCGACGCGGTGGAGCAGGAAGCGCGACATCCAGAGCTGGTCACCGAGCGAGATGTCGGGGCAGGGACCGACTTGGTACTCCCACTGGGCGGGCATGACCTCGGCGTTGGTGCCGGAGATGGCAATCTCGGCGTACATGCAGGCCTTGTAGTGAGCCTCGACAATGTCACGGCAGAAGACCTTGCCGGTACCGACACCGCAGTAGTAGGGGCCCTGGGGGGCGGGGAAGCCGTTCTTGGGCCATCCGTAGGGCCAGCCAAACTCGTCGAGAAGGGTGTACTCCTGCTCCAGACCGAACCAGAAGCCGTGCTCCTTGTGCTTCTCGAAGATGATGGCGGCGTCGTGGCGGAAGTTGTAGGCGTTGGGCGAGCCATCCGACATGTACGTCTCGCACATGACCAGGACGTTGTCGCCCAGACGGAAGGGGTCGGGGTAGTATGCAACGGGGCGGAGGTAGACATCCGAGTTGTCGCCGGGCGCCTGGCCCGTCGACGAACCGTCAAAGTTCCATTCTGGGAGGTCCTTCAGGCTCTCGACCTTGGACTTGAGCGTCTGCGTGCATGTCAGTATGAGCCTCGGGTAATCGGAATGAAGTCGGGTGGGATAAGGGAACGACGTCACTGCGGGCTGTGGCTGGTGGTGGGGTGCGATAAGAAGGAACGCCAAAACTTCCGGCAGAAGGAGCGATTGGCGCCATGTGCGTCACACATGCAGACCACCACGCTCGCAACTCCAGTCGTCGAAGGGCTTCTCCAGATTGTGTATCGCACGGCGCGTCGCAGCCAGTTGCTGCTCTCGGCTAGAACCTCGAACCGCAGACTAGACCGATCCGCAGCCGTAGCGTGGTACAAATGCCGCGGTATATCGCAGAGATCGTGGAGATCGGGTTGAAGGATCGGAAAGCTGGAAAATGCTCACCTTTGACTTGGAGCGGATTCCGTTGGAACCGTCTATCCAGACGTACTCGGCCATGACGGCGCCCTTTTGGGGGAGGTCGAGGTACTTCTTGAGCTGCAATGCGCGTTAGCATGTGTTTGGATGTAGCACGCGAGCAGTAGACTTACGTTGGCCGCATTGGAGACAATCGTTGAGTTCGCCTAGAGTATCGTCAGCAAGGGGCGCATGTAGTAGCAGTCGGGGACACGTACCATGACTGTGGTTGTGTATGTGTGGTGGTGAGGGAATAGCAAGTAACTCTTGACTGCGACAAGACAAGGCAGTGGAGGGGTTATAAGAGGGGTCTCTGTGTGAAGTGGGGAGTTATGATGGGCAAGTAGATAAGGATAGCGGGCCTGGGGGTCTGTTATAAGGTAAGAATGCTGGATTGCTTTGACTGTCTCGGCCTGTGGCGGGGCTAGCCGTGCTCAGATACTACTTAGGCTGGCCGTAGCCAAGAGGCGTCGCCGAACTGTTTCCGTGGGATGAAGAAGCAATCAATGTCTCTAAACGCGCGACTTTACGCCGCATCCCAGCATGCCTTGCCCACTCTGCAATCTCTAGGCTTCCGCTAGCCACGGTTGTACCGTCTCTCTGGTGATATTGTGCCCAATCTCGCGTCGCCGGTTTCCAAGGCTTACCATAGGCCCACGCGGTCTTTGTCGCGCATCGTGATGTTGGCTGACGGGCGAACGCACAGACGCACAGCCTCACCAGCTTCCGAGTTTGAGCGATTTGACGCTGGGTAGCGTCGCTGTAAGGGCAGCTAATTTTATCCAGGTACTGCCGAATTGGTCATGCCCTTCGGCCTTGGCCCGTACCAACGACAGTTACGACACACCGCTCCACACGACTATTGCTTTGCGATGGCCGTTCGTATGCATCGCCAACCTGTGCCCAACACGAGCTGCGTAACCCTGAATACCCAGACCCTGCGCGTCCACGTCTCGCGACACCTGCATGCCCAGCTCGCTGTAGTGCATAACCGTCGCGCTGGGCAGGGCGCGCCGTTGCCCGGGGTTGACATCGGGGGGCGATAAGGCCGGTTCGGGCCAATGGCTGCAGTTGCAGTTAGTCCTGCCTCGTCATGGCAGCATCACGCAAACCGCTCAACGTCGTTTCTTGTAGTCAGCATCCGAGACTCTAATAGCCTTCCGACCGGTGTGTCCGTTTTATTGTCTGGGACCAGAGGACGTGCATTATTCTAGAAGAGCGCTGGAAGTCTCTGTCGCTGGTGTCGTCTCGACTTCGATGGTACGGCTGGAGGATTCCCATCTCAACCCCACAGGTTTCCTGGCCCGCCGGCGACACAGCGCGCACGCGGCACATTCGAGTTGCACGAATTGCCGTCATCCAAATGATAATCCCTCTCCAACCCCACGATTGTGATTAATCCAGCGCGTTCGAGACATCCCGACAAAGGTAAAAAAGCCGCACAGCGACGTCGGCTCAACATTATCGTGCGTCGACGTTGGGCTTAGCGGGGTTGCGGGCGAGCCGTCGATCCGCTAGCACTGCATGCCCCCTGGCACCAGAGATAAGGGACATGGGCGAATTTCCATGTTACGTTAGCCCATCGAGTAACGCCGCCGGCCGTTGCGCCCTGGATGACATGCTTGCCCGCCAGCGACACAACAACAGCTTTTCACAATGTCAATATCTCACAAGTAGCACCGTCTGCGCAAACGTCACATCACAGTTCACAAACAGCCTGACGTTTGACGTGAAGATCAGGAACCGTGCGTGTGGCGGTGTCATCTCCGCTTTAGGCAAGGCTGGAGGCCCGCTCGTGTGCTGGAGCGTGGTCGAGAATGCTTGTATTTCCCCAGATGATAGCTTGCGCTGATCCAGGGAGCCTCATCTGCATGGTTCACGCCAGGCAGCCAGTCAGCCAGTGGAGTGGTGGTGCTGAGCATGGACAGTGCTCACACGTGCGGCCTATACCAACCGGAGACGCAACACCACCAGACATTGCGAGTCGTTCGCGAGACGACGTGTAGCTGCGCTGGGAGTTATGGAGGCCAACCATCAGACGTCCCAACGTCGATCCGTTCCCACCAACGCAGCCATCGGCGAACGGTGTCTCTGCCACATGGCATTGGCCTCTGGGCTGCGTCGCTGCGATACCCGGCGTGCGCACAGAAGCAATGTGTGGCACGACCCCTCTGGTGCGGTCCGGGACGATTGATGACCTGCAGCGCGATATGGGTGTGGTGGGGTGGCAGCAACGGGTGTACCTGCAGCAGCACAGGCTACGCTGGACGAAGCGCTCGGAACGATACGGGGGAAGATTTTGGCCATGGCCGACCTCCGGGAAGCTAGGCCTCCGGAAATGGCGCCAGTAGCATGGTGTTGGAAAATCCGGGGTAGATGTTGGCGTCGCTGCCGGATGGGGGGCGATGATGCTATAGGTTATGCGCACTGATCTCGCGTTAGTACAACTCCACCCGCTCTCAGTCAATGGCGCAATTAGCTTCTCCTGATCGCGGTTACTGAGCTTCCGAACATGCTGGAGAAGTGATTGTCGGCGATTCATGGTCCACTGTATCGACATGGGCCAATCATGGTGAATGCCAATGACGCATTGACGAAGTAGCAGTTGCGACGCCAAACGTCGGGATGGAACAAGGGATTGCGAGCAGACGGTTCCGCGATATTGTCTCTGTCGCTGCACAATGAAGGAGACTCACGTAGTGTTTGCGTGTTTGTACACTGGCAATATGGTATTGTCTGCGGAAGGTCAGTGTTCGTCCAATCACTCCTGTCGGCACCTCCAGGGCGTGGAATTGGTCGCTCAGACAAGACGTCCCCATCACACAGCGGTACATGTGTTATATCGAACACGTCTATCATCGGCCCTGCTGCCACTGGGGTCGTGATCGGTTTGTAGGTGAGCCATGTTGTCGGT